GTAACTTCCAGATGAAAGGCTACAAAATATATTTCACGCCGCACCCCGACGGCCGAGCTCATGCTGGAACGGCGCTAGTCATTCGATCGAACATTAAACACGTGCCATTGGAAGGATACTCAACAAACCACATTCAGGCTACTTCTGTACGTGTAGAGGATCGAACGGGATCATTTATTCTATCCGCTGTATACAGTCCCTCGAAGCATAAGATTACACAAGAAATGTACCAGGCATATTTCGAAACTCTTGGCAACACATTTATTGCAGGTGGTGATTGGAACGCCAAGCATACATTCTGGGGTTCTCGCATCACTCTACCGAGAGGTCGGGAACTGAGAAACGGTCTATGTGCTCTTCACCTAATGGCAATATCCACTGGAGCACCCAGCTACTTGCCGGCAGACAAATGTACTTCCAGATCTCCTCGACTTTTTCGTTACTAAAAACATAAGTCAGTTATATACCTGCGTGGAATCTAGCTTAGATGGGAGCTCTGATCATACCCCGGTAATATTAACATTGAGCTCATCTGTCATCATGTCTGAACAGCCTGAAACCTTGACCAATCATAAGACCGACTGGGAATGCTTTCGTTCTTATATATACCAATCTTATCTTTAGGATGCCACTTAAATCCCAAGAAGATGTGGATGCTGCTTGTGTGCATGTCACAAATGTGATTCAGACTGCTGCTTGGAAAAGTACCCCGTATGTTGAGCAGCACCTGGAGGGGCCGGGCCCGAATCTGGCGGAACAACAGTTCGGGTTCCGGCGAAACCGGTCCACGGTGGAAGCGGTGGCCCTATTGAAGGGGTGGACCGAGGCGGCCACTCGGCGGGGAGAGACTGCTGTTGCGGTGTCGCTGGACATCCGCAACGCCTTCAACAGTCTCCCCCACGAGTGCATTATGGAGGCACTGCGTTTCCACTGCGTGCCTCCATACCTGCGAGCGATCGTAGAGGACTACCTGCAGGGGAGGTCAGTCCTCTACGAGGGGCCCGATAGAAGCGTGTGCTCTCGGGCCATGGCCGTAGGGGTACCCCAGGGGTCAGTGCTGGGTCCACTGCTCTGGAACCTGGGGTACAACTGGGTGCTGCGAGGCAGCCTCATGCCCAACATGGAGGTTGTCTGCTTCGCTGACGACACGTTGGTCGCGGCGAAGGCAAAGTCGGTGGAGGAGGCGGTTCGCCTAGCGTCGGTCGGCACCTCGCTAACCGTCCGACGCATCCGCCTCCTGGGCCTGGATGTGGCCCTCGACAAAACGAGGGCCATGCTGTTTCACGGCCCACGCCGCAGCACCCAAACGGGGCTTCATATTCGGGTGGAGGGGGTCAATATACCGGTCGAGGGAAGCCTGAAGTACCTCGGCCTGGTTCTGGACCCCCGATGGAGTTTCGAGGAGCACTTCAAGCTCCTCGCTCCACGGCTGTGCGCCGCTGCAGCCGCACTCGGCAGGGTCCTCCCAAACGTGGGGGGACCAGGAGATGCGTGCCGTCGACTGTATCACGGGGTGATACGGTCGATGGCACTTTATGGAGCACCGGTTTGGGCTGAGTGCCTCAAACCCCGGTGGCCTTGTTGCGACGACCGCAGAGGACCATCGCGACCCGGGCCGTGCGAGCGTATCGCACGGTCAGCCACGGCGCCGCCTGCGTACTTGCGGGTGCGACGCCGTGGGATCTCGATGCGCAGGTCCTGGCAGACGTGCATCGAGGTCGGGTTGAAGCCAGGGAGCGGGGTGAAAGACCTGTCCCAGCAGAGCTGCGGCAGGTCCGTTCCATCGCGCAGGCAGAGGCCTTGCGGCGATGGGATGACGCACTCGCCCAAGTGAGCGCCGGCCACCGGACAATTGAGGCTATTCGTCCGGTGTTGGAGGAGTGGGTGGGTCGCCGGCGCGGCGGGCTCACGTTCCGCATGGTGCAGATCTTGACCGGGCATGGATGCTTCGGTCACTATCTGCACCGTGTCGCACGTCGGGAGGAAACGCCGCAATGTCATCATTGCGGTGCCCCGGACGACACAGCCGAGCACACCTTATTGGAGTGCCCGGCCTGGCGACACCAGCGCCACGTGCTCATTGCGGCGCTGGGATGCAGAGCTCTCTCGCTGCGGAGCATGGTGGAGGCCATGCTCCGCAGCGACAGGGCGTGGGAGGCGATCGCCTCCTTTTGCGAGATAACGATAACGGGAGGGAGCGGGAGGATGATCCTCTGGCCGCTCCCTCCCACCAAAGGAGGACGGGTAGGAGAGGACGGCGGCGCGCCCTGGCTGCGCCCGTCCCCCATGACCCTACCCGGGGGGTCCCTCGCTGACCGGCATGGCGCTGGCCGTGCCGGCCACCGACCGACCCCGTGACGGGAGCTACACGGGCACGCCCAAGTAGCCCTCCGCAGCGGACGGGGGGCTGTACGGTGGGCACTAGGCCGCGTACTCAGCCCCCACGCGCGGGTAGGCTACCCGCGCACGTCTGCGGGGTCCCCGTGATACCCCGGGAGACCCCTGCCGTGGAGCCCCGGCTAGACCGGCTGCTAGGTGCGGAGACGCGGAAGAATCCCTAAACGGGGATCCCGCAACTCCGTGCTAAGCAGCTTAGAGGGTATTCGCAGGACTTTTTTAGCGGATATTATACCGTAAAGCGCCCGTAAGAGTTGCAAGGTCCTTGGTGGGCAGCCACTGGGGGGTTCGTAAAACTTGCGGGAGCCAGGTGTGAGGTCCGTTCGGCGGTGTGCCTCTTAAAGGCGCCGTCGTCTGTAAACAGATTTTTTATCTGCGTATTAAAAAAACATATTAGTTTCCTCCGAAATAAAAAAGAAGAGGATGAAACTGAAGTTGAAACGGTACTTGGTCAAGATCTCCAGCTATGCCTGCCTCTGACACCTGCCTCCCCAAAAGAAATTGCAAGAGAAATTAAATTACTCGATTCGAAAAAGGCGCCTGGTTTCGACCTCATTTCAACACGGGTCTTAAAAGAACTTTCAAGAAAATATGTCACCTTCCTGGCATGCCTGTTTAACGCCATATTTAGGACGTCTTGTTTCCCGGCTATATGGAAGATCTCTGAAGTCATCATGATACACAAACCAGGAAAACCTATACATGAACCTACATCCTACAGACCCATTAGCTTGACGCCTACACTCTCTAAACTGTGGGAAAAGATTTTCCTTACCCACCTTAAATATTGCATGGATAAATGTGACCTCATCCCTACACATCAATTTGGTTTTAGAAGATCCCACTCCACCATAGAACCAATGCATCGTGTATTCATACTGTGTCATCACAGTGAGAAATTGTTATGACAGAAAAGAATACTGTTCCGCGTCTTTCCTAGATGTGCAACAGGCGTTTGACAAGGTTTGGCACAAGGGCCTATTGTACAAGGTTAAAAAGAATCTGCCACACTCGGTTTACCTCATAATTGCATCGTACCTGTCACAAAGATACTTCAGGGTTAAAGTCGATGATAGAGGCTGGAGTCCCGCAAGGATCGGTACTTGGTCCGGTTTTGTATAACATATTCACGTACGACCTTCCCACTGCTGGCGACGCTGTAATTGCTACATAAGCTGATGACATTGCATACCTTGCCTGCGATAAAGACCCTGACATAGCTAGTGCAAAGGTACAGAACCGATTGGATCAAACTCACGCATGGCTGAAAAAATGACGTATTCGAGTCAGTGGCCAAAAATCAAACCACATTACGTTTGCACTAAGGAAGGGAAACTGTTCTCCTGTTCACCTTGGGTCGAACACACTCCCACACTCAGATTGCGTCAAGTATCTTGGTTTCCACTTGGATAGGAGACTCACCTGGAAGCAGCACTTAAAGAAAAAGAGAGATGAAGTTAATATAAAATACAGAAACCTTCATTGACTTATGAACCGCAACTCTGCCCTGTCAATTGACAACAAGCTTCTAATATCCATTCCATTATAAAACCAGTTTGGACTTATGGGATACAGTTGTGGAGCACTGCTTGCAAAAGTAACATTACTTGCCTGCAACGAGTTCAAAATAATATCCTCAGAACAATAGTACTTAAATGCACTATGGTTCACAAAAAATGTCGAAATTCATGAATACTTGAACATGCCCATTGTCGCAGAAGAGATAGACAAGTGCAAATAGAGGTACACTGAGCGCCTCTCAAACCATCCAAATCCTTTAATATGCCAATTGCTTGAGCAAGCTAACCGCGTCTCGAGACTGAAGAGGAAGAATGTTCTCTAAAGGAAGTGGTGGCGCTGGCCGACCACTCCTGTCATGTTTGGTTGCGCTCAATAAATTTGCTCATAGTCCAAAGACTGATGGCAAATAAAAAATATATATATATATATATATATATAAAACAATGGCGTCGATGATTTTATAAAGAACACAAATAGTTCAAACCAAATAACAAATGCCTCGGCAACACTTTTCATTCGTAAAACGTCTCAAAACTCACGGGTTGTCGTGAATTTTATTAACGTAAACGCCATTTTGTTATCAAGAACAGGACAACAATACAGCTCAGCTGTACGGACTCGGAAGCGGACTCGCCGTTTCGCTCGCACTGCGTTGAAGCGTATAATTCTGTCTCGCTCTCTCGATTGAATGTTTATATACAGACGTGTGCGTGTGTGAGAGTTGCTTAAGTAGTTGAGTCGGATCTTAATTTAATTGAAGCTAGTAAGAGCGTACCGTATCTTCCCTTTTTGTTTTAATCTAAGGGTATTTCTGGTACTTACACACTAAAAACTGGAATTTTAATCAATAAGACTTCAAAAAAGTATAAAACAATTTAATAAAATACTCTCATTATGGAATATTGCAATATATATATAACCATAAGTTATTCATTCTTTGAGAATTATCCAATCATACCTTTATAGAAATGTATCACACACTGATTATGATCACATCAAGAAATATCTTCATATAAGCTAAGGGGAAAATTAACATGCATGGAACATTGAGAAGATCAAGCAGAGAATTTTTATTACATACACTCTTTCAGTAAGTAATTAGATTTTGTAAATCCAGTCTTGCAAAGCTTTCATATCTGCTGGATTGTCATCATCACCGGTATTAGCAGAACACTCTGCGAATTCTACTTTAGAGCCAATATGAGCAAATTCAAAATCTTTTCCAGGTTTTCCAAGATATGTGGAGTTGTTTGATTGGGATGGGTCGACTGACTGCAACTGACTTGACTTAGTGACACGTACAAGATTGCTGAAAGAATATAAAATGAAGATAAGCTTGGACTCAGGGCCGAATTTAGCGTGGATGTGATTTTATTGCTAGATATTTAAATATAGTGCTTAGTGTTGTATAGATAATGGTATAGAAACGTTCATGCACAAATCTGACTTGCACCATGCCGTTTTTTCATATCATAACTTATTTGATGTTAGATTCTTGGATTGAAAAAAGAAATTATGATTTCATTAAAATATGAAAAAAAGATGAAAAAAAAATTTGGGAATTCAGGTAGGTAATAAGAGGTTTTCACCAAAATCATGAAAAAAAAGTTTTTTGTGAGAGATATGTGGGAAATACAAAAGCAAAAAATTGCTAATTTTGATTTTTCAAAGATATTTTTAGATGTTGTGACAAAATTTTAATTTTATTCAGAGATTATTGATTTTTTAATTACCTAGGACTTTGTAATCTTTTTTTTTCAATAGGGGAAGCCATTTTCCCCCCTTAAAAGTATATTATTTTCCTCTTTTTTTAAGTTCTATTTTCTCTCTCTTCTTGTTCACTCCCTTAGAAATGGGTTTCATCCTGTTCGGATATTTTGTTGTTCTCTAAACTTATTGGCACTGGCTTAAATTAATTATTTAATTTAATTCAGTTGCATCACCACTTTGATACTTACATTTCTTTCTCTAGAAGACTTTTAATCACTTGGCTGCCCTTGGCAAGTGGTTGATCTTGTTTGTTGCAAAGGATTAGCAAAGGTGGGTTATTGCTTTGTACCACTGGGTCCAATAAAATGGTGTACAGATATCTGCAAAAATTCAGAGCATGTCAATATATAGGGTGAAATTGAATGTTTTAATGAAACTTCGTGAGATTGTTGGGTTACGAGTATAGAGTATGCCTGATTTTTTTCGGATTTTTTTGAAGTATTTTTTTTCATGTATTTATTTATAATTTGTGTATTTTTTTGTCCTTTCCTCCTTTTGAGTAGTTATTCATATTAAACAAACATGCTTACATATCCAGTGAAAAACAACTAATAAATAAGCACTTCTAAAAAACGGAAAAACAGTAAAATTCCACCGCGGGTCAACGACCGACCGCGCCCGCCAGCCGTTGAGTGAGTAGGTACGTACACAGAGCTCAGCTGACTCGTTTGATTCCACACAATACAATAAAATCGTCTTAGATGCCTTTATTGAAATTGAAATAATAAGCACAAATGTCATCTTCTCTTAAGCAGAGAAAAACTTAAAAAGTTAATAATAATTTTGTCACGATTGGAAATAGGCAAAAGTTAAACAAAAAGAAATACTTATTGCAGTTCAATACTTGGGTCAGAATGAAATTTATTACCAGGTATTCAAAAGTACTTACGAGACCGATGTACCTATTAATTTTTTTCACTATAACTTCCCAATAAATCACCAAACCTACTTTCGTAAAGCCTTGTGGCTCTGCTGAGTATTCCGTGACACTCGCAATAACAACACACCATATCCAAATTCTTATATTGAGGGCACAGAACAAGAACTAATCAAGGCATTATTTGCAAATCTTGTCTTGTCACAAATTTAAAAGATACGCACGCGCGCTTGAGACTCCGCTCGCTCACTGCGCTGTGCACCGCGCATACCTAGATAGGTAGGCAGGAAGGTATTCAACGGCGGGAGCGGTCATTGCTCCCGGCCGCCCGTCTCCTGTTTTTACGTCTTTTTTAGTAGTGCTTATTACTTGTTTTTTACTTACTCTGTATGCATGTTTTAAAAGAATAATTATTTAGTACCCAAAAGGAGGAAAGGACTTAAAATATAACAAAAAAAAAACAAAATTTTATTTTAAATCATTTTTTAAAAAATCCGAAAAAATTCAGAGATACTCTATATACGTAACCCAACATTCCCACGAAGTTTCATTAAAACATTCAATTTCACCCTGTATATATGTACAAAAATATGTATTTACACGTATTAAGACAGAAGAATATTTTAACAAAATGTTAATTATTTCAACAATATTAAATACCCTAGATACACCATGTGCACTCAAAATGTGTCCCAATCAAGAAGTGCTTGAACTCAACTCAAGCAGTTCTTGTTTCACAGTCACGCACAGACCATTGACAAGTCAAGATGCCACAGAGCTCCATTAAAAAAATGCAAAAAAAAAACTTATAGTACGTAAAGTGTCGTTTTTTCGACAGATACCTAAAATCAATGTGTGTTAATGTAAAGCATTTGAAGCAAATTATCTAATAATTCTATAAACTGATTTAATATAAAATATTTGTGATATTTAAATGCATGGTTGGTTATATAGTCGACTCTTTTCCTCGCTGTCCTGCTATATTGTTTAGCATTCAGAATTGCGCATTGCGCATATGGTCAATGAAATAAAGTCTACATTCTTCCACATATAGCAATAAGTCATTAAATTTTAAGAAGCTTGCATTTCGAACTGTAACTCATAACTCTTTGACACATGCATTAAAATTAAGACCTTATACAGTATGATTAAAGGTGGCTTTCAATGTTTAAATAATGTCTTATATTGTTTTTGACAATGCAATCGGATATACTGTACTTCCAGGGCCCAAAAGTAAAAACTTCACAGTTTTGTTGGTTGTAATTTCACATTTTTGTTGTTACAAAGGTTTCTGTTGACCACATTATTAAAAAAAATGTCACACTTATGCACTGGTAGTTTTTTAGAAAAACATATTGAAAATTTTTACTTTTCTTATCAAGTGATGATACTTCATACTAGGTTAGGTTAGGTTAGTGTTGTGACCACAACGCGCGAGCCGAGCGAGCAAAGCGAGCGTGCCGCGGCAGCAGCCGGCGAAGCGCCAGAAAAAAAATCTGTTAAAAAGACCTTTTCTACAAAAAAAAAAACAAATAACACCTTTTGGGCCCTGGAAGTACAGTTTTACCATGCAATCCTCTAATGGAGCTCCATGGATCGTCGAATGTACCCTTTGGACAGGTTTCGCTGACGATTTTATTTGTGTTGTTGTATCTAGAATATTTAATATTGTTGATTATATGTATTACAAAACCATCATGTGACCTATTTAAATTAAGTACAAATAGAATTATTTCTTACTCTGCAACATCCCGGATTTCCTTTTGAATGGTGACTGAATCTATAACATAAATTATAGCCTTTGCACTGCTCTTGTACTGGTCAAAAAACTTGTTCCTTAAGCGTTCCTGGCCAGGAAGATCAACTAATCGGAGAGATTTCTAAAATATAAAAACACAATAATCCCCAAAACTGAATATAACTTATGCATAACATTATTCCATCCACAGATTCACATACTCACATTTGTGATATATTCTTCTACATTCTCTTTCATTGATGTAAAAGTTTGTCTATATTGGGAATAGGCCAGTCTCACAAATAACAAAGTTTTGCCTGAATCTGAAAGCCCAGTAAGAAGTACGCTTGTGCGTTGATGGCGACGTCTTGTGAAGCACCACCAGATCACTGCAAATGATTTTTGAGTGAGGAATAAAATTATGGTAACTTAAGTGTAACTTTACTTAAAAAGCAGTATCCAACAATCCAACATGTTATTGAGAGTATACGTGAGGAAGTAGGTAATATAAACTATTACTTACGCAGCGTAAAAATGAGAACGATAAAACTAAGTAAGGTTATATACCGCGGATCATTTAATACCGGCTCCATGTGTATTTTTTCCTTGATCACCTCTGAATCCATTGTTGCTTTATATCGTGAGATTTATTGATTTGGACACAAAACAAAACTTATACCATAGAGTACGTATGTTAAATATATATTAAATTTCAAATAAATACAAACAAAATACTTTCAAATCAAAATACTACGCAAAGCGATTTTTAACCGTTTCATATTCATTACTATGCAACGCGATTTTTTTTTTTTTGATAAGTTTTACGGCCGTGAATTTCTCCATTTCGGCCATTCATTAGTACATTAAAATTTCATCATTTTATATGTTTTCGAAAGTGTTCATTACATATTCAAATAATATGGGATATGTATTAGTGTTTTGTATGATAGATGGCAATTGGCTGGGTATTCTGCAGTTATTATATATCTCTATTAAGCCATCTATCAATAACATTCTCTGTATAAAGAAGGCAGGACATTCTAAAATAAGATGCTGTAAAGTTTCCACACTCTTGGATTTACAATACCGACAATCATTTTGGTCTTCAAGTTTAATCCTGTTTAAATGCTCCCGGAATCTTCCATGACCAATTCGTAAGCGGTTCATAGTAGTAATATATTTTCTAGATGGATTTTTCAATTTTTGGTGCCATGGCTTCTTAGGTATCACATCTTGAATGTTGGCATACCATGCTCCTTTAACTTTTCTAGTTTCTTCCCAATACTTATTCCACGTCAAATACATTCTGTCTTTTATTGCACTATAAAAATCCGTAAAAGGAATTGAGGCGTTTTCATGAACTGGAATGTCGAAAGTACCTTTCATCAACGAATCAGCTATTTCATTTCCTGTAATACCTGAGTGAGATGGCACCCATAGAAATTCAACAATTTTTCCCATATCATATAGAACTTTTAAAATTTCTTTTGCAGAATATATGTATATGTTATTCTTATATGATAATGTAGTATTATCCAAACATTTCAATACACTCAGTGAATCTGTGACAATCAAATACCTTTTGGTAACATCTTTTTTATATATTTCAAAACTTCATGGATAGCTTATGCTTCTGCCGTAAAAATTGATGTATTGTTATGTAATCGAAAATATCTGCCAATTTTCAATGTAGAGTCATAAAAGGCTGCCTTCACATGATGCGTAGTCTTGGAACCATCTGTGTATAGTATGCGATGTTCTTTTCTTTCACTATTATTTATGAAACTCAAAAATTCTTCATTGTTCGTAATTTTAATGTCATTGTATATCAAAGGTTTGACCATATGTACCTCTAACGAGCCACAATTCCACTTTTCCGTCTTATAAACATTTTTACACAGTTCTTGTAGTTCTTCTTTATCCTTATTTTCTAAATAGATATTATTGTTTAAGTACATATTGCTATATTCAACGTTACTATACATTTTTACAAAGAATTTCTCAGCTAAATATTTGGCCCTAATATGTATCGGTGGTATACCTGATTCTATTTCTAGAACATTGATAGGGGACGAACACATTGATCCAGTAATAAGTCTTAAGCCTTTATTCTGTACAACTTCTAATTTTCTAATTAAACTATTATTAACAAATTTACTATATACAATAAGACCATAATCATAATGGCTCCTAACTATAGCTACAAAAATCATAAAAAGTATTTTAGGATCCATTCCCCAGCTAAGACCAGCAAGACATTTTAAAATATTGACACGTTTTTGCATTTTAATAACCACACTGTGTACATGAGCATTAAAAGACATTTTGCTGTCGGATATGATTCCCAAAAATTTGTGCTCGAAAACTTGCTTGATTTTAGTGGAATTTATTGCTATATTTACATTACTATTACATAAAGATTTACTGAATAACATAAAACTGCTCTTGGCAGGGTTTAATTCTAGTTTTAACAGCTTTTTGTAATACAAATTTATTTCATCAAGGGCTTTATTGATTACAATCTGAGCTTCAATTATATTTCTAATGGAGGTATAAACGACGAGATCATCAGCAAATTGTAACATTCTGACATTATTAAAATTGACGAACCTGTGAATACCAGCGGTGTACAACAAATAAACCAAAGGAGATAACGATGCGCCTTGCATTACACCCTTAAAAACTAGCCTAGGACCATAAAAATTGTTATTAAATTTTATAGAAATTTGTCGACCATAAAAGAAATTAAAAATAAATTGCAATATCTTTCCTGGGATGTTCAAAGAGTTTAAAATAACAACTAAAGTTTCTAAATCTACATTATCAAAAGCACCTTTGACGTCTAAAAAGACACATATTAAATTGGAATAGTTATTTAATGACTTTTCTATATCATCAGCAAATTTCAACAGGCTGTCTGTAGTGCTTTTTCCTTTACTGAAGCCAAATTGTTCTATTGGAATGATATTTGAGTTTTGTACAAAAGATTCCAGTCTACATTTAATCATATTTTCAAAAATTTTGCCTATACACGATGTTAAAGATATAGGTCTGTAGGAATCGGGAGAAAGTGGATCTTTATCTGGTTTCAAGATAGGGACAACCGTTACTTTTTTCCAGTCTAGTGGTATAATATTTTTATCCCATAAAGAATTAAAAATACTCAACAAAATATATCTGCAATTTGCATGCAACTTCTTTATAAGAATATAGGGTATTTCATCAGGCCCAGGAGTAGTATCCTTTCTACTATACAAGGACAAATTAAATTCAGATTCTGTGAACGGCCTAATTAAATGCGTATTTATTATATTTTGATTAAATAATAAATTTATCGAATCAGAGTTTAATGTATTCTGATCTGAGGATAATTTGTCCAAGAATGCTTCAACCCAACAATCATCTTTAGTTTGAACCCTGGGTCTATTTTTATTAAATTTCTTTATAAAATTCCAAATCCGTGAACTTGGTGTCATTCGATCAAATGTTGAACAAAGGGAAATCCAGGAAAGTTTTTTTTGCTCTTTTATGATTAATTTCTTCTTTGCGTCTAACTTTCTATAAATTATACTCTTCTCTTTATTCTAAATTATACTAGACATAGCATAAAAAATTAAAATTTAAGGAACGAAGAGATATTGTGAGCCTCTCGGTTGAACGAACAATAGAAATTGCCTGTGTGGAACTGGACCGGCTTGTTGTATTGAGCGTATACAGACCTCCATCAGCATTGTATGATTGTTTTGAAGCTATCAAGGATGAAGCTCTTAAGAAAACTTACACTACAGGCAAACGGTTGATTGTCTGTGGTGACTTCAATATTGATTTATTACAAAAATCTAGTTCGAGTACTAAAATAAAAAATTTATTTCAATCATACAATCTGAAAAACTTATTCATTGAGCCTACTAGAATAGCTGCCACTTCGGCCACTTGTATTGATAATATATATACAGATATCATACCACAGAAAAAACAAATTATTAATAAACTAGATAGTGATCATTGTGGCCAGTTGATTACATTTCCATATCAGCTCAAGCAGGTGACAAAAAAACACATCACTGTTGTACCAAAATCTGCTAATCGTGTGGAACGTTTTAAAACTCAATTAGATAGAAAAATGTGTTATCTAAAATATAAAGACAGTCCAAATGATTTATATAATGATTTTTTTAATATATACTGCACTGAATTTAATAATGTTTTTGTACCCAAAAAAATCTGTGTTAATGATGCGGTAACTTTTACTAAGTGGGCTACGCCTGGAATTCATAAAAGTAGAAGGACACTTTATGAACTTTATAATGAAAGAAACTGTAACACTAGTAAAAAATTTAAAGAGCATGTACGTAACTATTCTAAATTGTTTAAAAAAGTATGCCGCTTAGCAAAGTCAAATTACTTAAGTTCAAAGGTTAAGAACAGTAATGACAAAATTAAAAGGACATGGAATATTATAAACGATGAAACTGGAAAATCCAAAACTCGCAATAATAATTATAACTTAAATATTGATAATAAAAGGGTTACTTCAGATATTGAAGTTGCTACAGCTTTCGAAAATTTCTTTACTGATATTCCAGTTTCAACTACTAAAACTTTGAACTCTTCCCCCATTGCTGCCGAATCAATCTTAAGAGAAAACGTGAAACCTTGTACTAGTCATTTTCATTTTAAACATGTTGACTTCAAAGATGTAATTAAAACGTTTCACCAATTAAATAAAAAGAAAACCACGGATCTGTGGGGCAATTCCGTTGATGTTTCTAAATCGGTAATTGAGACAATAGCTCCTATTCTAGCTTGCATATTTAATGATTGTGTTGACTGTGGTGTTTTTCCTGACCTCATGAAATACAGTAAAATAACTCCTTTGCATAAAACGGGAAGTACATCAGACCCCACAAACTTTAGACCAATTTCTGTGCTACCCACCTTTAGTAAAATTTTCGAAAAAATCATGTTAGATCAAATGCAATCACATTTTAATAAATATAATATACTTCACTGTAAACAATTTGGTTTTACACGGGGTCGTTCAACAACCGATGCCGGTGTTGAACTTATACAACAAATTTTTGACGCCTGGGAGAACTCGCAGGACGCTCTAGGTGTGTTTTGCGACTTGTCCAAGGCTTTTGATTGCGTTTTTCATGAAACATTACTCAGGAAACTCCACCACTATGGATTTAGAGATACTGATCTGGATCTTATTGCGTCATACCTGATGGATAGGATTCAGAGGGTTGACATTAACGGCAAGAAGTCTGCGGGTTCGCCGGTTAAAATGGGTGTTCCGCAAGGCTCAATCCTTGGTCCTTTCTTATTTTTAATTTATATTAATGACTTACCTTACTACGTTAGAGATAAGCATGAGATAGTATTGTTCGCGGATGATACATCACTTTTATTTAAACTCAAACGTAAGGAAACAGTTATTGACGACGTGAACAGTTGTATCTCTAAGGTAGTCCACTGGTTTAATGTTAATAATTTATTACTAAATGAAGGAAAAACGAAATGTATTAAATTTGTATTACCTAATGTAAAACAGGTAAAAACCAGTGTGAATGTAAAGGATAGGAATATGGGCCTTGTAGACACCACAGTATTCTTAGGGATTACTTTAGATTCTAAGCTTCAATGGGGCCCACATATTGATAAATTGTCAAATAGACTTAGTTCTGCAGCATATGCCGTAATGAAGATACGCCAGTTAACGGATGTAGATACGGCCAGATTAGTATACTTTAGTTATTTCCATAGTGTAATGTCGTACGGAATTTTATTGTGGGG